CCAACCACGAAAAGACGGTCTGGTCTGACCGGTTTAGGCGGTTTGAGTCTTTAATGGACTTTAAATATTAAACTTAAAAAACATATACAATTTAGAATTTTAGATTAAATATCCATTTTAACAAAACAAAATATCCAAACAAATAAATGTAATAATTAAGCAGCTCTTGAGTCCAAAATCCAAGCAATCCAAAGTCTAAATAAATAAATATATAATACATATTAGTAAACAAACAAATTAACAAAGTTACAAATTCACTGTGAGTATTGAGTAACAAAATCCACGACTTCACAACTTTAGTTGATTAGAGTTTACTACTTGGTGATCCGAGAAATAGTTGAATGGTCGTTTAAATTTCGTTAAGTTATTTAGATTGTTTATGTTATCTTTGAAATGTTGATGCTCCAAAACTTTGTGTATAATGATGCTTTCTACCATTGAACCATAAGTGTGAACGAATTTTATAAGTACGTACTAAGGTCAATGTACTTGGTAGAGTAAGAATGACAAATATGACATCGTGCCAATTCAAAAACAAGATCTCATTTGCATACAATGTGTTACATTATGGCAAGATTCAATATGATTTATGCATAATGGTTTACAGACTTTTTTGTTTAGGATTATATGATCGATTATTGCATGATTTTGTACGACAGTTTCAGACTATATGTTTATGACAACATGTCGGTATCTTGGATGCCATGGTTGTTTGAAATGTTTTGATAATTTGTTTATTAGCTGGAAACCATGAACTCACTGAATCTAAAGTTACTTCGGATTTGGACAAGTTGAAAATAGTAATGGAAAGGAAAAAGTATAGTTTGGTGTCCAAGACTTCATTATGTTCGTATCAATACTAGCGTCAAGGGGATTTTTAGTGTTTTTCGTATCACAAAAAAAATAGAAGACAAATCTTAGTTGGTTGAATCACTTGGTTGATGTCTTGATGATGTGCCCCGAAATCAAACCACGGATTGGGAAAGATTGATAAATTGATAAAGTTCTTGAGGGATTTCAAAATTTGGAGACCGTCAATGTCAAATGTGTCGATATGTTTACTGATTAGGGATTTTTAGGTGGCGATTCATTTGGATTTGATTATGTTAGATGTAAGGCTTTATGTTTGGCTTAGGGATATATTTGGGTCATTAATCCATAAGTTAAAAAAATTGAGCTTGCTAATACTAAAATAAATAAATAAATATGTATGTATATATATATATATATAGAGAGAGAGAGAGAGAGAGAGAGAGAGAGAGAGAGAAAGAGAGAGAGGTGAATTATTATACAACCTACTACATTTGTACAACCAATACAACTCAATCTCAACCGTCCATTTAATTTGATGAATATGTAATTTATATAAGTTTTGATTATTTCTTAATATAAAGTAGTAATCATAATTAATGAACCATATTCGTATTCCATAAATATTTAAATCATAATAAATGAACTCTCATTATTTCTATAAATATTTCAATTTATTAGGTTGCATTGGTTGTACAAATGCGATAGGTTGTATTTGAAACAAACTGTATGTATGTATGTATGTATGTATGTATGTATGTACGTACGTACGTACGTATGTATGTATGTACGTATGTACGTACGTACGTATGTATGTATGTATGTATGTATGTATGTATGTATGTATGTATGTATGTATGTATGTATTTGGCGGTCGGTTTGGTCTAAACCGCCCAAAAAAGGTTCCAAACCGCACATCGGATCGGACCGTCCGGTTTTGCTATTTTTCAAACTAGACCAAACCGCCAGACCGCTCAAACAGCCAAAAACGGTCTGGTTTGACTTGGTTTAGCCGATTTCAGTGATTTAACGATTTTTTTGAACACCCCTAGTATTTGCACATGGGTTATCAAAAAAATTGGTCCTTATCCACGCACAACAGCTGAATCCAAAAAGCCGCACTACAAAAACCAATGCTTAATGAATGTTGCAGCACAGAACACTAGGCATACATGCAAAGAATTAGCCATCCTCATGGTGTAAAGACAAGTAAATCACTTAATTTAGCTTTATGGATAAACAAATGGAAAATAATATAATAAAAAGAATTCAAGGTTGGGATAAAAGAAAATAAACTACCTAAAAATAAAAAAATAAGTGTTTTATGACTTGAATAATCAATGCATATCATAGGTCATTGTCATAATCCATGAATAACTAATCGTGGATATTGCATCTTCTTATAAAAATTATGAACCATGAAACAAGCACTTACAACGTTTCTTTGTATTTGAAACAAATAGGAGCCACTGCTTTAAGATTGGAAATCTTGTTTTCAAGACACTGTAGGCATGCTCGATAACGTTTCTGAGTTACACATGAACATGGTTGAACCTTTCTTTTTTTTGTCAAGGCATGTTGTCGTCTAAAAGCAGCTTGCCAATACTTCATATGAAGTCATAAAACCATGAGTGTTGGCATAAGCAACATCACAAAGATAATTTTATCTACAACTGAAATGCGAGTATAACCACATTATATGACAACTAGAATGTAAAATGTATAAGAAATGGTAAACATTTAACGTTAAGTGAAAATTGTACATTACCTCGTGGGGGAAATGGAAAGCTAGAGATTGGACCAAGTACAAATTCTCTCAACAATCTAGCATCATATGTTATACCCTTCCATATCCAATCCAAACATACATGAATAGCATATTAAAATCACAAATACCTAAAATATTTGGATAGCGTTCACCTCTTCTTCCACCTTTATAATGAGTTTGTTGATCAACATACACATTTGCATGTATAAGTTCCATATAACACACTTATTGTCCCCTTTATTAAAAAAATAAAATATAAATGGAACTAATAAATATTTAGTACTGAGAGGTAGAGTTTTTTACCAATGAGGATTTACCTTTTAGTAATTTAGAGGCTCATTCTTAATAAAACTATTAAAAGGCAAACAAACAACCCTTACTAAGAAATATGGAAATTAAACATATATGTTTTATAACATTTAATTAATCAAAATTATAATCCAATAAAAATGTTATGTAGTATATTTTATTTTTCGTAGATATTACATTCTATGAAATAATTTACAAGTTGAGTAAACTCTAATTTTGGTCCATGTGGTTTAGTGAAAAGTCTAAAAGTGGGACATGGACTTAGGGGTGTATAAAAAGCTATCAAACCGTTCAATTCGACCAAATCAACCCGCTAACAACCCAATTAAATCTAACCTGCTAAACCATCAATTAATCAGGTCCCACTTTCAAACTTTTCAGTAAACTTCAAGGACCAAAATTAGAGTTTACTCTTATAAATTTGAGAAGATGGTAAATTAATGGAATAATTATGTAAAGATACAGAATTGCTCAACATCTCATGTGATGTGTCTCAACTTTACAGCTCGTAGGGCATGAGTTACACATTTAGATGACATTCTGAATTCCTATGAACGGGGAGTAGCCGGAAATGGCATGGGGACAACAAATGGCGACGGAGGGTTGCGATAGATAAACATGTTGAAAATCAGATATGACATTTTGATTAAAATTTAATGCAAGGACATTTTAGGTATTTTATTTCCTCTCTCTGTCTCCCGACCTCCGTCCTCCGGTGATACCACAGTGGTATCACAATGCATCTTATATGTGATTGGGTATCACACTGTGGTCGTTTGTGCGGTCGATCGGATATGTAACACAGTGATATCACAATGCATTTTATATGTGCTTGAGTATCACAATGTGGTATCACCGGAGGACGGTGGCCGGGGACGGAGAGAGAAGAGAAAATACCTAAAATGTCCTTGCATTAAAATTTTAATTAAAAATTACCAAAATTATAAATTTCCTTATTAATCTATTGATTTGTGGTTGAGATTGGATTTCACGGTTACCACAAACTAATCAGTTCTCCCTTGAACGAGCCTATATATATATATATATATATATATATATACACAGAGAGAGAGAGAGAGAGAGTGTGTGTGTGTGTGTGTCAGGTCCAACTAGAACAATGTCCAAATAAGAGAACACGAGAACGAAAAAATCATATGTGATTTTACATAAACTCACGTGTAAAATCACACGTGATTACACGCGACCTAGGTTGCTGGACAAGTCACCCGTGTACCGATGTGTTGATCATATGATGTAATCGCATGTGATTTCAGTATAAAATCATAAACAGTTTGGTCGTTATCGTGTTCTCTTATTTTAAACAGGTTCTTGTTTGATCCCTCTCCCCTCCCCCCCCCCCCTTCTCTCTACACACACACACACACACACACAGGGGTCTAATCAAATGAGAAATAGATAGTTTGGATAAACTCTAATTTTGGTCTTTGTGGTTTAGCGAAAAGTCTAAAAGTGGGACATGGACTTAGGGGTGTATAAAAACCTATCAAACCCTTCAATTCAACCCGCTAACAACCCAATGAAACTCAACCTGCTAAACCGTCAATTAATCAGGTCCAACTTTCAAACTTTTCAGTAAACCTTAGGGACCAAAATTAGAGTTTACTCTTACAAATTTGCAAAGATGGTAAATTAATTGAAAAATTATGTAAAGATACAGAATTGCCCAACATCTCATGTGGTGTGTCTCAACTTTACAGCTCGTGGGGTAAACATTTACACATTTTGATGACATTTTGATGACATTCTGAATTCCTATGAACGGGGAGTAGCCGGAAATGGCATGGGGACAACAAATGGCGACGGGGGGTTGCGATAGATAAATGTGTTGAAAATCAGATATGACATTTTTAATGCCCCCACTTTCAGTTTTAAAAACATATTTGAAGCCAATGACAAGTCATTTTTAGGTCAAAATGATCTATTTAATCAGTTTTACAAAATCCAAATATCTATTTAATAAAAAATTTGTCTAAAAACTCAATCGTTAAGACCAAATTACCAATTTCATATCATTTTTAAAGTCAAAATAATGTATAATTCATATTTGGGCTTTTATATTGATTTATTTGTTTTTTATGCTTTTTAATCCATCCGAGCTCTATAAACCCTAATCACCCTTTGCTTTACACTCTCAAAGCTTGTGTTTTCAGAGGCGGCTATCTCTTCACTCAAATCGGGGCCATGGGTAAGCAGATCTTCATTCTAATGATTGGTTTCTCAAATAATCTTCGATTTCTTCAAGATTGTTTCTTGAAATTGTTACAAAAATGCATGTTGATTTGTAGCGAGGATCAAAGTTCATGAGCTGAGGAACAAAAACAGAGCAGATTTGTTGGGTCAATTGAAGGATCTCAAGGCTGAGCTGGCTCTTCTTCGTGTAGCCAAAGTTACCGGCGGTGCTCCTAATAAACTATCTAAAATGTTCGTAACCTCCTCTGTGATGTTTTGATATTAATGGACGTATTACGAGTTTATTTGGTGGTTTATGGAATTTTTTAAACCCTAGCGATATCTGTATATTCTACGCATTTGTGGTTAACAACATTTTATGGTTCTAATTGAGATTCATCTTTTTGTGATTAATAACAGTTTATGATTCCAATTAGCTAAAATGATTTGAAACCCTGCCATTTTCAATTTCCATTTTTTCTCAGTATTTTATTTGTTTGTAATGGGGTTTAACCCAATTTTGTGATAGTACGATCATACTTCTGTTGGAATCGGGGGACAATTCCTAATAGAATAATTAATGGATCTTAATTGTTTTTTTAAAGGTAGGGTCTAAGGAGGGTATGATTACGCAAATCTTGCCTTTACCCCAAGGGGTGGTCGGGGGGGACTCGGGATACCAGAGTCCTACATTAGAAAGAGATGGTGGTAATCTTTCCTACTTTCCATATGGTATTTATGCATCTATCTGTGACACCTGAGGCAAGGCTTATTCGGTGAAATGATGACTTGTGCTTAATGTGCGAGGCAAGGCAAATCAAACCAAACCAAACTGATCCGGTAGATCCTGCAAGAGGTAGGGTCTTGGAAGGGTAGGATATGCGCAGACCTTACCTCCATCCGAGATTGTTTTAGTGATGACCCCCGCCTTGCAGAACAAATAGATATAACAAGTGAGCCGAGGGCCTTACTTTGATGCATCATGTGATTGGATTTGAGCCTAGCATCCTGTGCGCTTTGTGCCTCAAATAACGTAGGGCATCAATCCATACAAACTTAGAGATGTTTTCTATATTTTGGGCATGATTTCTAATCTATAAAATGCTTGTGCAAATTATTATCACTGTTGAGCTAAAGCTGTAGTATGTTGTACACATCCTTCATACCTCCATTTGTTTGTGCTTCTGTATTAATCTGCCATCACTTGCTTGTTCGATTCATGGGATCGAACATTATCACTTTGTTGACTAAAATCATAGATTCTGATCCACAATAATCATAACTCTCAGTGCCAATGATATAATTTTGTTTTCTCTGCTTCATTATAGACCTTAATCTATGATACAACGTAAAATTGATACACGTTCTTACTTTATTTGCGATATTGACATGTTTTGTGTTGTGGTCAAATGCAGAAAGGTTGTTAGGACATCCATTGCTCAGGTTTTGACTGTGATGTCACAGAAACAGAAAGCGGCACTGAGGGAAGTGTACAAGAACAAAAAGTACATGCCTCTTGATTTGCGTCCCAAGAAAACCAGGGCCATCCGTAGACGTCTAACAAAGCACCAGGTACCATATGACTTTCTTGTTTCTTAGCATTGTTAAAATGTGAAGCATTATATTTGTTGTTTAAACTTTGGCTTTAGAATATGTCTGATGTATACTTTCCCATTGTATGACTATGGTTTCTGATGCCTTTTTCGGGGGAAATTGACTAAAGTGGCTAATCTCCCCATCCCCATTCACTTTTTAGCCACATTTTCAAGCCAATTCCCAAACTAGCCATTCTTTATGCAAATGTTGTACGAATTGCGTAAACCATATTTTTCTGATAAAAAGAAAAGAAAAAATGTGCATTTGTGTAAAAGAAGGTACAAATTTGCATTAAAAAGTACGCATTTGCGTAAAGTAGGGCTAGTTTGGGAATTGATTTGAAAACAAGGTTTTAAAAAGCGGAATCGGACCTCGAGGTGTTCTCCCTCAACCAGGCTAGGCATAAGCCCCGAGGCGGAAATATATATACCAAGGCGTATGTCTCATCTGGGGATTGAGGGGTGCTGCCATAGGTGCCGTTTTTGGCCGCCTCATCCCAAGGCGTGCCTTGAGGCCTACGCCTCATACGCTTTTTAAAACCATGTGGCTAAAAAGTGAAGTGGGGCGCAGAGACTGGCAATTTTAGTCAATTTCCTTCTTTTCGGTGAAGTTGTCTTGTGAAATATGCAACATTTGATTTGAAGAGAAAACCAAATGAAAACAAACTTAACCAGAAAATCCCACTCGAGAGTAGGGTCAGTGTAAGAGAGGGGAGGGAGGGGGGGGGGGCGGATTGAGATGTACACAGATCTGACATCTATCTTGGAACGAAGACAATTAAGGAATTCCGTGGATCTAAATTAATACCCTCGATTTATCTGCAAAAATGATTATGTTGCAAGTATGCAAGTTTCGCTTGAAAATCATTTCAAAAAACTGAAAGGTGTAATTTTGATGCAATAACGATAAGAAAATGTTGCAAATTTTGCAGGATTACGCCATTAAACTCAAATTTAAATTCTTTTGTGCTTTTTGGTAGACTGTCCATGCAAGATTTGATGGTTTTGTCCGTTTTGCTGCATTCAGCGATTTGAAAGCTGTCTGATTACTTAAGTAAATGACTGAAATACTCTCAGATGATGATCAAATGGAATACGGTTTTAGTTTTATTGTATTGATCCTTGACTGGTCCTTGTCAGGCATCGTTGAAAACCGAAAGAGAGAAGAAGAAAGAGAAGTATTTCCCATTGAGGAAATACGCCATCAAGGTTTAGAGGTGCATTATTGTCTTTTTGAGTTTTGCAGTTCATCAATTTCAGTGGTTTTTGTAAACCCAGATTCGCTGCTTTTCTGCTTTAATGATAATTGAAAGATGCTTAAATACGAAGGCCGTTTCTTTTGGCCCGTGTTACAGGGTTCGAATGGTTTGCAAACGATTTTTAATTGCCAATGGAGATGACCAAATGGGTAACGGGACTGGCGGTCCAGGACTGTTAGAGTTTTCGTCAAAAAAGGCCCGGCTCGGCCCGGGACCGGCCTATTTTTTCAAATATATTATCGATACCCAATGGCCATATGACCGTTTTTATCTCATTTTTTTACCCTTTTTGGTCACATTTGTCCTCTATTCATTATATATAAGTCATGGTGTATGGGGAAGACCAAGTTTTTTTCAAACTTGTTGCTCCCAATTAAGACGGCCTTTCTACTTGGCACTGTCGGATCACTAAGCCCGATTCACGGTCCTGCCCATGGGTGGATCTTGCAATCAACCTAAGAATGTAATTTCAACTTCATGCCCCCAACTTGATGAAAACCAACCAAACAATCCCCTAAGACTAATGCCGCATCAAGTGTGGGCCTATAAGTTATTGTGCTATACTATTTTGTTCCATGTACCAAAACACATCTTCATCTAATGTAATTTCAACTTCATGCCCCCAATTCAAATGTTTAGGTTCAAAATTAGTATTATTCAAGACCTAAGACATAGAGGTGTTAAGAATTTTTGGATAGGGTGGCACTATATAAAACGGTTGCACCTTCTAGAATAAAACGGTTGCATCTTCACGAACCTAATTTTTTTTACCTTACCAGGGAGGAACAATACGGTGGTACGTGTCACCTAACCACCCCTCTAGGTCCGTCTATGTCTGGTAGATCTGATTGTCAAGCTGATTGAGGACAACTATTTTCAAAGAAATGAGTGTATACAAAATTACTTGTTAAAATTAATTGACAGACATTATAATACAAAATAATTCAAAATTGGCTGTTCGACCCGTTTGTATTTTAATGATTAAAATTTTGAGATAATCCATCAATTCTCAGTTTCCCATATACTTAGATTTTTTATATACTTCTAATAAAATTTGTGAATCTTTTTTTTAATATATATATATATATATATATATATATATATATATATATTAAGGGATCGTTTACCAAACAGCTTAAGAGCATCTTCAACAAAAAATTTGTAATGAGGTGCGAACGTTGCCTCGATGCAATATGCTTAACAGCCTCAGAGCATCTTCAACAAAAATTTCAAAAATTTCAAAAATATAATTAACATGTAAAAGAAATAATTTTATATTATCTTTCTATCATTAATAAATCTTGGCATTAACTATTTAAAAGAGAGAGATAAAATTTATTAAACATATGAAATATTTTAATAATAAAATCAAGTGTTTTTTAAGTACTATAAAGGTACCCGTGTAATGTATCGAGACACATTTTCATTTCAATGTTTCGTTTTATTTTTTTTTATCCATGTCAATATAATACGATTGTATATGGTTTTGAAAAATCGATAATGTTTTTATTTTTGAATAAAATATAAATTTGAAATTATCATATAAAATTTGCAGAAAATATATCAATATTAGTATTAAATTAACTATTTAATAGTTTTTGTTTGTGTATTTTTTTAATTCAAATTTTTTATTATAAATTAATTTAACGTAACGAAGTAACTTAATTTAGGTTTAATAATATATTTTTTATAAAGATAATAATTAAGTATTCTATTAGAACTCAATAATTATCTTAATTATATTTTAGATTTTTTATACTTCTAAATGAGATGTTTATCTTCTATTTGATTATGTTTATCTGCAGTTAGTTAAACAAATTCAAACATAGAACTTTAATAAGTTGTACTTATGCAYAATTTACTTGTAATCTTAAAATTTAAGTAATATGCATTAATAAACAGTACTTTGTACATAAAAATGATTTTTAAGAATTTTTGTCAAATGCTTTATAATATAGTATAGATATAATATTTATATATAGCAATTGCAACAAATAAACTCACACCCTCTTCACTTTTGGTGAAGTTTGAACTTCAAATACTACTATACCGCTATACCAAAGGGCTTTCGGTAATCAAATTATCCAAAATACAGAAGTTGTTGGAGCAGGATGTAATTCATTTTAAAAAAAATTAACTTTTTTTTAAAGGATTTGTTGAAGATATTCAAATATTCTATCTGTTAGAAGCACAAAAAACAATCTATGTTAATTTTTGTAAACAATAACAGTTTCAAAACAGTAAAGTTGTCTTAAGAGTAACACTAAGGTCGTTTGACATATTATTGAAATTTCTCTCGCTTTGTAACTTAATCATTTTGATTACTCTATTTTTTTTCCAAGTCCACCTCGACACGTGACTATCAAAATATACATACGAGTTTATAGTTTTTCTATTGATAAAGGATCAGGGACGGACCTACTTTGGTGGAATAGGTGGCACGTACCACCGTATTCATTGGCGCATCTACAGCAAAGGTGTAGGGGGCACAAGCCCCCAACAACCCTAGCAGTCATCCACTAAAACATTATTGTAGGTTTATTTTTATTTTTGTTAACCTAAAATTACTAATAGGCCCAGAATAAATAAAAGTTAGACCCAATTCTAATTCTTGTCATTTTATTTAAAACTCTTACTTGAAAAAGTAATTAATTGATCAATTAAACTCTAATTCCTTAAACTTTTAAGTGTCAACCTCTTAAAATTCATTTTAGTTATCATTTTTTGTTTGCTATAATGCTAATAGTTATTATTATTCTATTAAATTGGACCTTTAAGCCGAAAATCAAATAACCCAAAATCGTATTGGTTCGAAAGAGTTATTCGGTTTCAGATCTTTTTTAACATCCTTAAAAGGTTCCCCCAATAATAAAAGTTTGTGGATCCGCCACTGACCATATTATTTCTCCGTCAAAGGGTAAAAAATATTAGGTTCGTGAAAGGTGCAACCGTATTAATTTCTTGTGAGCCACCGTATGTATTTTGAAACTACAATAAGAACAAGTTTTATTTGGTATAGTTGGTTTGCAAGAATTTTATTCCACCCCAGATCCTAGTTCGATTTCTGTTAGTGTCATTTTCTTAATCAAATGACGATTTCGTATATTTGCTTCTTATAGTCAAACGGTGCCACTGTTTGAAAGAATTTCTTGATCCGTCCCTGGAACGGATATATACGCACACTAGACTTGGGATCATATGAGACCAAGGGTTTTTCGTGAGACCCGTAAGACCAATTCTCAACCCTTGGATTAGATCAACAATCTGAACATTTATAATCACAAAATTGCCACGAGACTTCTCAATAATCATAAAATTGTCACCGTGCAACTTTAGACCATTAGATCATTAACTTATAAAGTTGATCAATGAACATCAATTGGTCTTACGGGTCTCACAAAAACCATTAGTTTCACGTGAACCCAACCCACACACTAAACATAAATTAGTCATAATGACATAGATATTAATAATCTGAATATAAATATTTGATTAATGTTTTATGTATTCGAAATCTCTAAATAATATGAAGAATATCAATAGAACATTGAGTTTTTCAAAGTGTTAAAAGGTTCTTGAAATACTAGAGAAAAATCGTTACATATACTATGAAGACTGTAAATGTTTAGATCCACTGTCTTTTTAGATGTCCGAAAGTTATCATTTTGTATTGAGTAAAATAATATTATAAACAAAAAAATCGAATGCATTTTGAAGGGTTTTGTTGGTTTATACTTCTACGATGAGTTTTGTATCCTTTACCGAAAAAACCCATTTTAATTTTCAATCTCTTAATATCATCTCCAATGACAAATGCTAAAGTAGAGATCTTAGAGATTTAAAAGTAAACGTTTGCTCCAACAGATATGCTAAAGTGTATACTTAAATAGAGATGGGAAAAAGGGACAGCAGAAATCTCCAAATTTACAGAAATCTCTAATATATTATTTTAATTGTTTACAGCAATGAGGCGGAATGTGTTATAATATTTTTATAAAGTTCATTTAAAAGTATATTGAAATGATGAATTTATAAAATATAATTAATGCTAGAATTACTAAAAGCGAGTAGCCATTTGAATTGGATATTATGTTACTTAAAGATTTTGCTTTTAGATACCCTATTTTAGAAAAATTATAGCATAATTGTTAAAGATACACTAAGATATTGTGTTTGATAAGACAACTTTCTGTTCATCAGGTTGGAATGGACCGGATTGGATTGAATTGAATATGACTCGAACATAAAAGATAACTGAATAAATCTAAAACAATTTAGCTTCCATTTCGTTCCAAGACGGACGACGAACCAGATACATACCTAGATATGTTTGATTTAGAAATACAAGCTTAAAACAACACTACATGTTCGAAGAAAACAAACTTGTTTTGCTCTAGTTCTGAATGGGACCGAACCAAGAATCCATTTTCGAAAAAATCTTGAACCGAGCATGAAGAGTGTACCAATCTTTACAACCCGATCCAGCAATCTAAACCACCAAAATCTTGAACCACAAAATGTATTGATTAATCTAATGAGTCCCTAAAGTTTAACAACCAAGAAAACCTCCAATGTCCTTTGGAAACTCGAACTAATGATTGATAGAGAGCAAACCCAAGATATGGCGAGTTGAGCTACCACAGTGCCTAAGTTGGATATATATATCTGCATTCTAATAGAGCATCTTAGTAGCAATCACATGGTTGGGTAATTATAACATACACACACACACACACACACACACACACACACACACACACACACACACATATATATATATATAGGTAGGTAGGGGTAGCATACGAGAATGGTATCTAAATAAGAAAATACGAGATTTAGTGAAATTATTTTATGTTGGGTCATGGAAGAAGATCGGGTCATGTTAGTTACTGGTGCAAGGGCCATAAATGAGGGTTCTTAAGATGAGCTCGTGTCAAAGGAGGTAAGCACTGAAACAAACCTTGTATCGAAGGCTGATTCTATCTCACATCATCCTCAGAATTTGCCCAGAAAGCTCCTATTATAATAAGGGACTTCCTAACTCCATTGTCATCCTCTCAATCAGA